CACACAGTCCCTTGTGCACAAAAGTACTTTAAGAAAACTGTATTTCTAGTCATTCTGATTAGGAAATCTGATAGCTTGTGGCATGAACTTCTCCCAGACAAAGGCTGCAGTAGGTGGCAGGGGAAAGCAAACAGTCCAGTACTTTTCCCAGGAGCTGCTTGCAGGCCTGTTAGACTAAGTGGCACGGGTAAAACGAGCTGTGCAACCTCTGTACCCTCTTTATCACAACGCCTTATAATATCCTTTCCTGTTAGCACTTGGCAGCAACAACAAAGAAATTGGGCCAAAGACAAATGCTGAGTTCTAAAGTGTTGCTGGTGCCTGAAACAAGTCTCCCTAGCCTCCCTTCATGCCTTCTCCAGTGCTGCCCACTGGCTTTTGTCCATTATCTGCCCAAGCCAGCTGCTTGCTCTCTACTGACTGTATGTCCTTGTTCTCAAAAGGACTTGATGGACCATGATAGAGGGTGCTGGAAAGCTCCTGTCCTCTGAATTGAAATGCACCTGGATCAGTTGTTTCCAACATTTCTCAATATTTGCATCCTTAACATTTTTCCAGTGCTCATGTGAGCCTTGTCTAGAAATGCCATTTGCTCAGACACTGCATAGTAAATACAGACTTGCTTTTCTTAATCAACTCCCACAGACCAGCTGTCCTCAGGCAGCCTCATTTGTTGTCTTTGTAAAAGAGGCATCGGTGATCCCTTAAGCATGACTTCAGCTCAGACCACCATTTGTGGATTTCTCACAGATTTTCCCCATGGTACTGAGAGCTGAAAGAAGATCCCCTGACATAAAAGCAGAATACCCAAGTGTGCCATTTAAATTCCAGGAATCAAAACATTTCAATTCTTCCCTTGATGGAGACTGACAATGTTTCAGGTTAACATGAAAAGCTGAATTTATACAAATATTTTGGTATAGTTGAGTTTTCCTGCCTGTGAAAAATTAACCTTCTTATCCAATAGAATGTGTTTTGGGTCATGGCAGTGAGCAGATGTGTATAATCTCCCACACGTGGAGAATTTCCATATCATCAGAATTAGCAAGAAGTAAATAGGAAAAAAAACCCTGAATGGAAACAAATGGAAGACTGACATGGCTGTGTTCCACAAAGTACTTTCTGCAGCTGCATCACCGCTCTGGAACAAAGGGGAATATAATTATTGTTGTTTTACTTTCAATTCCCATTAGCAAAGCAAAAGCAAATAAAAGTGGCTATTTCTGCAGGGAGAACTGCGAGAGGTGAGTGTATGAGGTCACACAGGGAAATCACGAAGAGACTTTCTTAAGTCCGTGTAGCTCATGCACCAAAGAAAAACCTATCAGTAAAATTCACCGTTCACACTCTGTTCCTGCAGGGCTGAGTCAGGCTTCTCAGATGCCCTGAGGATAAGGCTCAGCCACACCTGCTGGGGTAGGGCAGGAATTGGCTGCTCTTACTGTCAGCCAAGCCAAAAGTGAGAATTGCTTTTGGGGACACAAGCTACTTTTGTCATACTGGCCTCCACTCCCAGTGTGCTTCCTGCTTCCAGGGAAAGCAAGGCCTGCCATGATCCCTTTCTGTAGCCAAAGATTTTCTAGGTTCATTTGTGGGGCTGAGATGATTTGCCAATACAGCCAGATACTCAACCATACTACTTGCCTCAGTTTGTTGCATCCTCCTTATTTATAACAGCAAGAAATGAAGCTCCTCATTCTATCTCTCTTCTTTCTTTGACTTTTGGAGTTAGTTCTTTGGCCAGAGACTTGCACCACTTATTTGCTTGCAAAAATCATCACTGTAGATAGAGAAAAATAAATCAACAATAATTGAGGAGAGACAAAACAACAAAGCAACCGAGCTGCAGGATGGATGCCACCCATCTGTGTATAGTGGAAAAGTGTCAGTCAGTGGAAATTTGCAGCATCCTTCTACTATAATTTAATCCATCTTTTTCAGTTCTGCTGATTTTCAGCTCTGGGCTGGGAAAGCTTCTGCTTGTAAGAATGCCAGGATATTGTCTCTTTCATGGGGAGGGGAAGTGCAATAATTTGTGTGGGAAGGGTAAGGGGTTGCTCTTTTAATTCCTGTCCCAGCTGCAGAGGTTGTTGCTTGCTGTATTCCTCCACATGTCTGGCTGCCATCAATCCTGTGCTCTCCCCAAGTTCCAACCAAAACTGAAGGAGGAAAGCATTCAGTTTAATACCTCATTTTCCTGTGTTCTTCTTCTGTTTTTTCTGCATTTACACTTAGCAAGCTGACAAAGTGTGACAAGAGGTCAGTGCAAGGCCTGCTGCTCTGAAGTGTCTAAAAACTGTGTTCAATTCCAACACAAGCACCTGGCCTGGCTGGCCAGTGAGAAAGGGAGCAGAAGGGAGAAGAACACTGCACTATCCCAGCAAGGGCAAGCCCAGAGATTCCTGATGCACAGGACCACCTGGGAACAAGGAGGGTGGAACCTGGTCATGCCAAATGTGTCTGGAATTCCTATTCATCCCCATCCCTTAGAATCAAGGAATTCCTTATCCTCCAATCAACCAACCCACACAGCTGCAACTGGGGTTTCCTCTTCCTCTCATTCCTGGAGCATGTTAATACTCATGGCCAATAATGATATGAACCACCAAAAAAAGACCATGTTTTTTGTCATTAATATGATCTTTAATAAATGGAATAATGCACCATTTTTTACAGCAAGCCTTTTCTCTCAGGCCTAAAGAATAGCCTTTTAAATGTTCTTATCCAATGTCTCTGTATCAATACAATCTCTTTATTTAGGTTTATATATAACAAAGCAATTCTTACAAGTATTCATAGAAAACTCTGTAGTGGCTTTAACAATGTCAGCTTTCATAGTGGCATCCACAGATGATTAAAAACCAAAAATTAGCTTTTTATTTCATACTCACACTGTTCCATGAAACACAACTTATACAGCATAGCAAGGGTATTGCGCAGCTTATACAAAAGAAATAACTGAAAGCAATTATTTATAAATTCATACATGATATTTCCTCAGTCATTTGAGAGGAAAACCAAAAATACCCGTTAACAAAAGGGTTCTGATGAGACTCCATATTCTAGGATTTCTCCCCCTCTTCCCCCAGAAAAGCTCGCTCAGAAAGTAATGCTCTCCTTACAGTCTTTCATAAGGAAAATGGCAGTTTCACATATTCTTACTTCAGCCTTTACAGAAAACCAAACCCTAGAAATTCATTCTTGCCATGTTTATTTTCCTCATACTGCATATGGGGGGGAAAATAACAACAGCAACTGTAAAACATTATTCCAGCTTATATAAATGTGAATAGAGCACGCTTTTCTCTAGAGACAAAAAGCAGACAAGAAACATATACATACAAACCATTTTAAATACGTTTCAACAGTGTGAAAGAGAGAGAAGAGTCACCAATCAGGAAATTCAAAAGTGACAAATGAATCAGCTATAACTTGGACTTGCCCGTTTGTTCTTGTGACTTCTTACAAACTACGAAGACCAGAAACTTTAACTGTTTTCTGAATAAACAAGACTGAAGAGTGAAACTTCATTATACAGTTCTGAAGCACAAAAAAGAAAGTGAATCAAGTGCTCTAGAAATAAACCTCACATGTTTGCTGTCTTAAAACCAAGTGAATGGGCTACAAAAGTGGAGGTTTGGGAGACCTTGGAACTAGAAAGTTATAAAGGCTAATTATTTCTGCTTTAAAATAGTTACCAGGCGAGATGCTGTGCCCTGATGGACACACTCCAGTGATACATCTGCAGAAGCCTGGAAGGACTGGGAAGAAATCCTTCCTTCCTGTTCTATGGAAGCATGGTGTATGCATTGAAGTTAACCAACTGAATGACTTGCAAATTCAAACAATTGCTGATGACAACAGCAATAGGCTTTGAAAAATAGCTGGTGATTATGCTACGAATTAGCATAACTCCAACTAGTTTCTGCTTATTATGCACATGTGTATATTTAACCACAGTGAAATAAACAGAAACGGCCATAAGAAATAACTTGTATTAATAAAGCACTCCTAACACAGACCTGCACGGAGCCCAGATCATCATTAAAGGGCCTTGGTGTAAATGAGGATTTCTCATGAACCCTTCCATTCCCACTCCCCCAGTGCAGTTCCACTTCTTGACAAAGCCACAGCTGCCCTGTGCTGACCCAGCTCCACAGCCTGAATCCCCCCTCAGCAATGCCCAGGAGCCAGGGCTGCCCCTGCAGTCCCACATTCCATACCAGCTTTCCTAGGGCTAATCCTCGCCAGAAATGTTTAACACCACAGCCAGCAGAACCCACCCCTCCTCTGCCCACTGTCAAAGGCAGACTCCTGTTGAATTCCAAGAGCACTGGGCTCAGCCATAAGCCCTTGAGGTGCCCATTCCCTCAGAAACATAGGTGCTGAACATAACATCCATTTGGATTTGCAGGAGCACAAACCTGTTTGTGCAGAAATGGAAGTTCTGCCTCCAATTTTACTCAGTACAGAAGAAACCTCAAATGAGAAAACTGATTTGTTACTCTTTCATGTCAAAACTGAACCTACTTGGGGGTTGGGCGAGATCAAAAAGGGTTGTATTTCTATAGCTACAGTTTCATATGACAATATAGAAGCCTAAAATGTAATTGGATTTAATGGACTAAAATACTATGTTTAAATGGCAACCACACATATAACTATAGCTACTATATAAAAAAAGCCTTGTAAAAATTACCATGTTGTAAGTGTTTTGGGTTATTTTTTGATCCCAGAGAGATGTCTTAAATCACTCAGCTTCAGATAAAGCTTGTCATGTGCATTCCCAGGTTTCTCTCTTTCTCTCCCTCTCCCTCTCATAAATCCAGTCCACCCAAACAATCAGTGACAAGTCTGTCACAGGAGATCTTGAACTACTGGACTGTGTGTCACAGTCTGATCCCAGATTTACTGTGATACACTACAGACAATTTTAAAATGGCATATGAACCCCCCCCCCCCCCCCCCCCATTATACTTTCTACCAGTGCTACCATCTGATGCTGTAACTCACAGAATTTAATCCTGGAATTTACACACAACATACATATGCATCTAAATACACAGAGAGTTTACATAAAAATATATATATCTGGCTTCACTGCAATATGTATAGTTTTTTCACTGAAGAAAGGCTTGAGGTTGAACAAAAATTAGTAAACACATTTTAAAAAGAAGGTTAATACAGTTACTGTATTAATTACTGTTAAAAGGGGTATTGGGAGACCAGACAGAAAAATTCAAATAATCCCAATTTATGCAAAGTATTAACTTGTCCAGTCTATGATCCAACTTTCAAAGACTGATCAATCCATTTTCAATTTACTTTGACGAGCTGCTACAAATCTTCCAATTTAGACATCACATCATTTATATGCTACTGTGCTTGGCAATTATTAGTTTTATGGCTTAAATCTGGCCTATTTCAGCAATGGGACCAGCCACCATTTTTTGCAAGTAAAAATTACAGCATAATTAGTTTCTAATGTATAGACTAAATATGTCAATTTTAAAATGCTCGCTAATTAGGCAATAAATGTCCACAGTAATATTTCAATGGCAGAATAAGTATGAACTTTTGTTATTTTTCATTAACTAAAATTGTAATCTGAACATCAATACAGTAATGTTATATTAGTGGATATTTTTTAACATTTAAAAAAGGAATATGATTAGAGCAAAATGCACTGAACACTGGAACTAGGGCATATACAATGTATACATATATATTTTTAAGTAAGAATTCATTACTATTAGGTTTGGGGCCAATAATTTATTCCATACAATTAAAGAACTTCCTTATTCTCCTCTCTGAGGCATGTAGGATTCCAGATTTCTTTTAGAGAAAGCAGGCAGGTAGGAGGATGTGAACTTTCAGAACATATTTATGAGGTGGGAGTTTTTTGTTGTTTGTTTCCTGAAAATTGCCAGCATCTATCTTGCATTGTTTTGTGCCCAGTGCACTGAAAAAAAAATAAAAATGTGTTGCTTTTGAAAATTAGGTAATTATCTATATGAAAACAAGAGACAAACAAGTGGCATTATGAAAGCAAAACAAGAATGGAAATGTTGTTTCTGAAAATATTCTAATTATGATACTATCAGATGGCTTTCTTTTAAATTAGGAATACCTTTAAATTAGGAATACCAGTGTAAGTGCATCTAGGAGTTTCAAGGGAGGCCTTGGTAATAAAAATTGGGTAAGATATGAAGCTGCAAAAGCATTATAAGCAAATTCAGGGAATTGTTGCAGATAATCTGACTTGTAAACACCAATTTTAGAAGACTATGAGGCATGTCTGTTCAAAGGGTTAGAATTCACAGTCTAAAAAGCGTGGTATGTTGGTATCTCCATTACAGGAAACAGAACAAGAGACAATGCATTAACCTAAGCAACTCTCCTGGCTTCTACTGGTAAACCATTTTCTATACCCAGCAAGATTTTGGATTTTGTCTTATACAGACAAAAATCACAACTGTTTGCTCTATCATTTTACTTGAATTATCCATTATAAATTACCCTAACAAATATTCTACTATTGCCTATTTGACAGTGGCACAATTAATAGGTATTTACATTACTGTTCTATTTTAATTTTGCTATATTTATCTTGTCTGCAATATACATGAGAAATTGATAGAAAATTATCAACTTTCACAACTTTCCTTTTTTTTTGAAAATCAAAGAAAACAAGCAAAATCATAACTCACAAGGCAATAAATCACATTTGTTTTCCTTGTTTGTTGTACAATATCAATTATCCCTGTGTTTGATTTGTAGAATTCTTTCTCTTACATGTATTTTGTTTGGTTAAGGATGATCCCCCGCAGCACGAAAATTCAATATCATTTAACTTACAGAGATAGTATTCTATGGACACTGGATTATGTGCTCTGAGAAAAAAAAAAGGCATTACTATATTAAACATTAAAATCAAACTTCTAATCTGATTTAATCTAGCTGTGCAGAATTACAGTACTTTGGTACCTACTTCAGAGTTTGCTTTGACTGACCTTTAAAACAGAATAGATTTTATCTGTTTAATCTATAGGGTACATTTTTCTATCATATTAAAAATTATATTTATCCATGGTAGATTGCACAGCCAATCTTGCTACTAATTATAATTCATTCCAAAGGCCCTCCAGCAAGTAACAGAAATAGACAAAGGAAAGAAAAAAAGTATTGTTTAAGATAATGTTGAAGGAGAACTGCAGAACAACATCTTCATCTGGTATTAAAGTTATTTTGATTGCATTGATCACAAAACAGTTGGATTTCTTACAAAGGCATGGCCTGCAAAGAAAGGCTAAAAGACTGGTGCAATTCTGTCTCAGCAGAAAGAAGCAGCAGTCAGAGAAGTATTTTTCTCTCCCCAGAGTAGTCTGAGTTAGTAAGAGTCCTAAATATTGTTTTCAGCCCACATTCTGAAATGCTGATGGATGATACATGCAAGGCAAAGAAAAGTCACTGGGAAAGGGGGGAAGAATTCTCAACACCACGATCAGTGCTCACCAAAAAACAACACAGAGCAATCCAAAGAGAGACTCACAGGAGGCCAGAGGAGAAGAGAGCCACAGTGAGCAACATGAATAGAATGCCAGAAATTCTGATTCAGGTCTTGAAACCCAGCTGAGTAGCTGGCAGGTTTTCAACATCTGGGACGTGAGACTGCAGCAGATGGGAAGCCAGAGAGTGAATTAAAAGTCAAACCAGAAGAAGGCTGTGTTTTTAAAAAGGGGTGATATAACTGTATTATACAGGGGGAAAGCATAATTACGCCTCAGAGACGAGAGGTACTATTTGAACTGGTGCTTAAAGAACATAAGGAGCTCAAAATGTGCCTCATGGCTTGTATTTCTACAACTACACTTAATCAAAGTCTGCATCTATAGTGCTATCTCCTGGAGATATCTAGGAGAATCTAAGAAATGTTAAGAAGCGTTACAAGAGAAAATCACAGCAATCAAGAACAAGCAAGGAATTTTGGGGAACAGCAAGAATCAGATGTAAGCAAGGCATGTATTAGATTAGTTGTATCAACAGATAGAGAAGAACAGGGTTGGCAAAGTTTACCTCAGGGGAAGAAAATGGTAAAACGGCAAGGAAACAAATGAGCTTAAAAGCAGAGAGCATCTGCTTTAGTCAGCTGAAAGGAGACAGGCTGGGGGAGGCAATTGTTTGCTGCCAGTATCCTGCCACAGGAGTCTGGCAGGCTGACTGAATTGATTTTCTTTCTTTGAACATCACCAGTTTTCAGATGAAATAATAAATCTTTGCTTGTTACCAAAGACTGGTGTGTTATACCTTTTTATATCCAAATAGTTTTTACTGAAGTGTTTTCAATTGGAAAGATTGCTTCTCAGGAGGAAGGCTACTTCTTAGGTGGAAGGAGGTTCTAACTAATAAGAAAATTATTTTCTTTCAGTAGACGGTAAAACCAATCACTCCAAAAAAAGGAAGGGTTTACTTGAGATAGTGAAAAAACAATTTATCTCAATACGTATTACATCCACATTCACTGCCAGCTAAAATCAGTGTGCATATAAACTGAAAGAAGGGACTAAGCAGAAGGAAAAAAATCCCCAACCCTCTCCCACAAACACCAAAGAATTTTAAAAGCATGCAATAAACTTTAACAAGATGAATGAGGGCCTCTAAGAACTCTGAAGGGAGGACGAGTTTTGACTCAACCTGGCAACAACCATCAGTTAGGATGCACCTACCTGCATAAGCAATCAGGCTTATTTTTACCCCATGCTGTCTGTAAGGAGGTAAATCAGGAAAGACTTGTGACTCATCACAAAACTGTTTTGTGCCAAGTAAGACTAATTTTTTTTTCTCTGTGTAAACAAAATACGTTCACAACCTATCTTCACTCAAGCTTTTAAGTATGACAATTATTAATATTTCTGAATAAAATGTATTTTTCAATGTACATCATTAGTGATCTAAATAAGGTTTTACATAAATAGAGGGGGTGAAACTGCACACAAAATAAAATGGAAAAAATGGCTGACACGGTTTCCTTACATTTGTTCAACATTTTGTTACTCAGCTTCACAGGCTGGCATATACTATGATGAAGGAAACACATTTTGATTAGGGAGGATCAAAAGAAAGGTATGGAGCTCAGATTTTTTTTCTTTTTTTGTTCCTTTTTTAAAGCCCTTTCAAGTTGGGGAAAATTCATGCATTGTCACGTCTGAGCACAATGTGATATTGGCAGCTGCTTCAAGCTGGCTACGATGTGCAAAGTTCACTGTCATGACGGCTGACTGCTCAACTGTCAAGGAAAAATTAACAAATACGAAAATGGGAACATGTGGCAGTTTTAGAAACACACTTTTCAATAAAGCCTACTGTGAACTATAGACTATTGCACATTTCAACATGACACAAGGAAAATAAGGGGTTCAAAAGAGAATACACTTTGTAACATAGAAATATACAGACTAGCTTGTGCACAGAAATTAAAACATGGTTACAAGACACCACTGCAGTCAAACCTGTCTTATAGTCTGCTTATGTTCTTAGTGACCTTAAGAAACTGGTCCAAACTGATTATCAGCGATACTTTTTTTTGTTACTTTTTTTAAAAAAATATTTTGAGACCACATCTTTGATACACATATATATATTCCGTGGTCAAAACAGACAGACTTAACTTTAGCGATACTAAATAAAAGTGCAAAAACGTTCAAAAAATAAAACAAAATAAAAAATATGGAAGCATAAGCTAAAAATTTTCTGCATAGCTGAAATCTATTTAAAGCGAGTCCTTGGTAGGGGTTGCTGACAGGAGGAGAAAGCAGTTTTTAAAAATGTCTTCTGCATGTTTCAAATAATGCAAAACAAAGGTCATTTGCCAGCTTTTGAAGCGTTTCACAGGCAGTTCACCCCTGCGTCCTTAGAGACCATGGTGGTGGCAGTGCCCCCCTCTGCAAGGTACACAGCAGTGCTGGATTTGGGGGGCACTGCCTGCTCACTGCCGTTGTTGTTGACCTCGCAGTGCAGCGGCTCCGTGGAGATGACCCACGTGGACGGACGCCACCGCTTGAGCGAGTACGGAGTTTTCACACGTTTCTTGATCTTCTCTCCTGAGCCTGATTTGCCATCCTGTGAGGAGTCGCCTACTGAAGGAAAAAAAAACCAAACCAAAACAAGAAAACAGAACAGAAAATAGTATTATGAGGAAGGTGAGATTAGACTGGCATCCAGGGCTGTTACTTATGTGAAACAGAAAAAAAAGAACAAAATCTATAAACGCAGAAGCAACTGTGTGGCAGAGGCATGACAGGTGTATCGACCACAAGAGCTGCCACTAAAACAAGGGGTTAGATTCTGTTCTCTGTCAGAAATTACTTCAGTGAAGTAATTTGTGTTACCTGGAATGCATATTGGCATCAAACAGAAAAATCAGCATTTGACATTTGAGGGGCTTTTGGAATCATAGGATCTTATATTACCTGAATTGGGAGGTGCAAAAGAACATTGCTACTACAGGACAGCAAAGGCTAAAATTTAAATAGTGCAATGTTAGGTCCCCTAATCCTACTCCACCTAGCAAAGCATTTCACCTGAAAACAAAATAGTCCATTATCTGTTAAGATAGTAAGTCAGGATTTGGAATGCTGGGTTGTAAAACTGGCAAGACCAACTTTAACTATGATGAAATTTCAGCAGTCGAAATCTGATTGTTAAAAAAACTTACACAACCCCTTCTTTTAACTTAATCTTCTATTAAAGAAAGTCACTGCAATAATATTTTTTCTTTATCTTGGTAAGATTTCAACTCACACCAACATGTTAAGACAAAAATTAAGGTTTCGTACTTAAAAGGAAGGCTTAAACATTCCATTGCTGAATACTCAACTACATTTATTGAAAGTTATGTTCTCATTTGGTTTTAAACCTTTTACTTCCAAAGATGCCTGGCATCCCAGTTTACTCTACTAATATCACAGCACCTTCCTAAAGAGTCACGACATTTGCAAGTACCTTTCAAGACTACAGTGACTTCTGGAAATGTATTTTCTTTAAAATGCACACCAGGAGATCTTTCCAATAGCTCGAACAGGATCAAACCCAGAGGATGCATCTAATTTAACTATAACTACATGATTACATTCTTACTGCAAAAAGGAGAGCCCTATTGTAACCTCTTAGACCTCTGGCCATAAAACTCTCAAGGAAGTTACTATTCTGAAATAAGCTATTAAAATAAATTCCTTCTCTAATGACTTGGATTAATTTTTATGTACTATGTCAAACTAATGAAGAATTGCTCTAATTGTTGGAGCTATGACAGCAAAATAGAAAATGCCTGACTGTCCATTTAGGCTGGGCTAATACAGTAAAGTTAGTTTAAAATCAGGAAGCATAGAGATAATTACTATAATAAATTATTTTAATCAATGCATCTTAGAGATGGCTACTCTTAAGAGAATGAGGAAAAGTAAGAAAAAAAAGGTGTAAGGTGCCCCTGCAGAAAAAAATAGGAAAATTTTTCAATATGCTTTGCACCTACCAAAGGTAGGAGCCTTGCAAGGAATAATGAAAGTTAACCTAGAGACAGAGTGGATGGGTTAGAAAGAGACAGATTTATTTGGTGTATGTGGAAGGATGATAGTGATCTAATATACTGGAAATGATGGAGACAGGACTATATGAAAAAGACTGAAATTGTGCTGAGGGAAATTACATTAATATGAGATTTAATAAGTATGCTTTGAGGCGAAACGGGAGACGGAAATAATTTCTATTCAAGCAGATATATGCAGTTATTAGGTAGAAAGGTGTCAGGGAAACGGTTCAGCCCTGCAAGCACTTACACTGCATACTACTGCTATCCAAACTACTTGTGGCTGACAGATCCAGCGAATTAGGCCTCTGTGCTCTTCTGGTCTGGGTCTGCCCAGGATTTCTCACTACATTTTGGATGCTGGCTGCAGCTGTGTCTGGACACGGATTGCTGTTGTTGTTGTTGGCGTTTGTTCGGCCGTTATCCAGCGGCCGCTCCCTCCTGTCTACCAGGCGGTCCAGAACACCTTCATCATGGCCAGCCTGCTGCTCCCGCCTCAGCAGGGGCTCGTGCTCGTCGGGACTGGAGTTGATATTCAGCCGACTATCCTCCCCACTGAACTGGTTCTGGAGCATTTCCTGGGCCCGCTGCGCTACCGAGCTGCTGGTCTGGCCGGAGGGCACCGTGCCATTGGCATACTGGGTTGTGCCAGCGTGAGAGTTTATGCCGTGGCTCCTCCCAGCCACTCCATTCATGGTAACTGTCACCACGTGAGGTTCTGCAGCATTGATAGTGTTCATCTTGGCAACGCCCGTTTCCACTTGCTTCAAGTTTGATTTGTGCTTGCCACCAAATTTTAACCGTGGCTCCTTTGTAGAATTTTTGGTGTTTAGAGGGAGGCTAGTAGGCCTCTTCGGAAGGTTCTGTTGCTTGGGTAGAGGATAGACCTGAGCAGATGGGACATCGGGAATCAAACATGCCTGACCATTGGTAGCTTGTGTGAAGTCCTGTTGCCCTGTCACCTCTACTGCAAGTTTTATCAGTGGATAAAGCAAGCTGGAACTAGTGCTGCTCAGCGGATCTGGCCCACTAAACTGCTTAAGTGAATGTTCCATCAGATTCTCATCAGAGCTTTCTTTCAGGTTCTTATCCACTTCTTTTGGATCCAATTTATTTGTCTCCAAGTCCTCCTCTGTTAGCTGCAGACAAACAGGGGTGGGCCCACCTGGCTGCATGACGTTTGTAGTGTGTAAGTTTGTTTCATCCGAATAAGGCATTTCGGATATGGTGGTCATGCCAGTGCTGGGAGTGAGGCCAGTTGTGTTGGTGGTGGACAAACTGGTGACACTTGTCTCAGGACTAGGGATGCGCGCTTGTGCTTGCTGCCGCTCGTAGTTAATGGAATTTCTATTCTTTTCTCCTGAAGTCAACGGTGTAGTGGACATTGAATGTTCAGAAGAAATGTTCTTTACTATGCTGTCAGTGTGGTGGATTGAATCTTCAATGTAGGAAGAGGAAGAATAATCTGGATATGGCCTTATCTTTGATACACGTCTATGATGTGACAGATTCCTTTAAGAAAAAATAAGTGGTATTAAGATCATATATGTAAAAAATCACCTCATACTATAACACCTCTCATTTAAGAGAGCTGAGTGTCTTTCTGTTTCCTTTAATACATAAACTAAGAATAGATACAGTACAAACTGAAGTATTTCAGCAACTTCCTTGAAAAGTGCTGGGGATAAAAAAACTGGTTTTACTAGGGCAAAACTTCATTATGGATGTTACTTCCTAAGAGAACAGTAATCTTCTGTTTGTCCAATATGCTGTTTGTCCAGTTGGCAAAGTAATGCTAAGGTTCTGCTCTAGATGCAGAGAAGCGATGCTGAAAAAGGTCAACAAAAATACAACAGACTAAATCAAGTAAGTGATTCTGGGAAAATGTCACAAGGTCCTAACCCATGAAAACTCAACTATTTTGACAATTTAGGTATTCTATGATTTGAACATAATATTTTTTCCATGACAATGAACAGTGTCATATACAGCAACATTATTCTTCTCTCAAATCTGGATTTCTAGAGTATACTATTAAGAACTAAAAATTCAGCTCTGCAAATTCTCATTCCCTCTGGATCATATATAAGCAGAGAACATGCAGCTTCTCTTGCTGGGATCAGAATAATAATGACTTAAACAATGGCCCTGCAATTTGTTAACTGAAAAACTACAGGTTTGAGACTTGGTAATCTTCTGAACTCACAGTGACTGCAAATTCACAGTTTTTAGCAGAACGCTTTAAATAGAAGTTTGATGCATCGCTTAGCAAATGTACTTAAAGACAATTCATTTTGTCACTTCACATCATGGCAAGCCTGCTGAGACAGTTTGCCTAAGCTCAGTTGAAAAGGCCCCTCTGTGAGAAATACAGCTGTACACATAAAAGGTGCCTGAATTCTGGGGACACACAGGAGATCTTAAGAACAAAAGCAACTGGGATTATGTCATGCTCATATGCAGACTAGGTCATATAACGCATATCACTTAATGGGTGCAGCAAGCTGTAGCTTCTGTCCTGGAGCGAGCCAAGTGCTGCATTGGGCATTTCCTGCTGACTAAACCCAAATGTGTTCTCTTCTTACCTCTCATTTTGCATGGCAGTTGACATAGGATTGACTGTTGGACTAACTGATTTATTTCTCTCCCAAATCATCATGAGCTCTGCCATTCTCTCCTCAGCACACTGTGCTGTTAGTCGAGCTTCTGCATCTTGATCCCAACAGTCTTCAATTGTTTCTTTAAGTGACCTCACAGCCTGCCAGGAGACAAAACCCCTTTAAGTTATTTTACCTTTAATCTGTGCTTCTAATGTATTGTTTTATGGCAGCATTCTACATGCCTGAAAACAATCACAAACTGGTGAAAGAGAGAAACAGAAGATACATAGTTTCATTCAAAGCTAATTTAACCTAATACTACCAATACACAATTTGATGTTATCACACCTCACATACACACATCAACTGGGAAGACACTTAGGAAAAACTACATTCACCAATGTCCATACAAGCTTCAGCCAGCCCTCGGGTGGATGCATGCTCTGCTCACTCTCCTTGCCTTATGAGAGCTGTGTATTAAGGATATTCTGGAAATGCTGCCATGGTTATTCTCACAGTTCTGCTAATGGTGATGGCCTGGCTCCCCTGCACTGTATGCAAATAACAGCTGTGCTCACTTCATCATCCCTGTCTTTACCATAGTGACATCCAAGTGTCTAGTAAGTATCAATGAATTTGTCTGCGTCATGGGAGGAGATTTTTGTTTCACTTATTTTACAGGTGGAGAAACAGAAACACAGGCATGTTCCTGGCATCACACCGTGGGATGAACTGTACAGTCAGGATTAGCGCTCAAGACCTCCAAAACGTGCTACCATATGTTCAGGGAACTGGAGAGGAAACAACTGAAATTACAAGCACTGAACACTTCTGTTTCCACTCTTATCTGGAGGACAAAAGCCAGCCAGACATTTATGGGCCCCTGCTGCCAGCCTATGGCCATGGAGAGGATCTGGTTTGCCAGCACAGCTCACGTCTACAGCCCAGCTTTACCCTCTCCAGCACTGAGGACTGTGCATAATCCCAGCTGGGCACTGAGGCATTCAGTGAGTCCTGCTGACTGTCTCCGTGCCAGAACTGCCTTGTGCCCTTCTGGCAGTGGAAGCCAGGACTAGTTCTGAGTATGAGCCAAGAGCTCCTTGCCCACGGAGGGGCTCCTGGCATCGCTTGCATCTGGCAATCGCTGCTGCTTGGTGATGCAGCTCTGGCTGCACAGGTGGGGACAAGCTCCCCCACAAGCAAACCTTTCATCTCCCTTCCCACAGCAGATCACACAGGGGATAAGCCAATACCCTCCCCTTAGCTGAGGGACATGAGTCTAAAAACACCCTCAGGGACAAGGACAAGATAGGGTACTGGAGCAATTTTCTCTCACACAATAAAATGCCTTCATTCAGCTTTTAGGACTTGATTCTGTCACCATTTAGACTAAATCAGTGGATAATCCTGCCTTTCCTCTTCGTAAGACTCTACAGGCTTCACCAGCAGCAAATTCAACCAGTGTTTAATTTAATACTATCTGTCCTGCAGCAGATCCTTTCCTTTTGATGTGTTAAGGGTCATTAAAGGACAGCAGTGACTGTACAGACAGTTATCAACACTGAAGTTCTTCAGCGTCACATTTACCACAATTATGTGTTTTCTATTAATGTCAGGCTGAAATATAACTACGCTAAAATGAACTATTTACAAGTACTAGCACTCATCAAAAAGATAGAAGGGACCAGAAATCTGCATTATTCTATCATTCTGTTAATATCCTGACCTCTGAAGTCAAGTGTGGCCCCACTTTGGCAAGTGAGACAAGAATACAGTAATATCTCAACACAGTAAAAAGCCTCTTAATTATTTTATGTACATCCCATGCTCAGGTTGTTGCTTTATACTGCAAAAAACAATACTGCTAATCAAAGTCTGTAACATAACATAGATGCTTCCAGAAGCAGATTAAGACTGCATAGGTAATCACAAATGAGAATTTCACATCTTTTGAGTACCTTAATAATATTATTAAAAATAAAGTGTTATTTTTTATTTATATTTCTCAAATGGAAAGGACAAATGCATTTGTTTCATAGATTCATTTGCATGAAGGTGTTATAACCCAATATAACAGCAGAGCTTTAAATAATGGAAAAAAGTCTTTTATCCCATGCATTAGATACAGGAGGTTAGGACGTGGGTCCAGAGTGAGGTTATCTGGAATTTCATTTTCTACACTATCTGCCCTAGAGTGCTCAGTCAGATATTATCCTAGACTGGCATAGGGAGGAGGAAATTGTTTAACACCTGTGATTATTCTTTTCTCTTAAAGCAATGGTGCAGTTCAATTCTTAGAGCTGGAGTGATCATCATTTTGATTATACAGAAAAAAAAAATTACTAACAACACAAAGAATGTGCTAGGCATTTTAAATATGGGGATCATCTAATAATGCTGGAGTCTATCAGCTTTCTAGAACATAATTAACATTTAAAATGGCAGTCTGCAAAACAAAACAAACCTTCAACTGTTTCAGTTTTAACTGCCTTCAGGAACAGCTTGGTTCTTCCAACACTGCATTTGCCAACATGGCTATAGTTAAAACAGCTGTTGTTTGATTTCCTATATACTTTGGGCACTGATTTATCTTTTTTCCTCTTCCCCCTTTGCTCCCAAGACTGGGTGGCCAAACGCATGTAATAAAAGCACCTCTTGGAAGCTCTCAGCTGGGTTATAACATAGCCCATAGCCTGTGCACCACTGCAGGCTATGCTCCTCCCTGAAAGCAGGTTCCTGCATATTTACAACCACCAGGTGAGGCCTTGGGCTCCTCCTCATCTGCACAGTAGCTACAAACTTATCAACCACCAAAAAGTCTCTTGAAGATTGAAAGGCATCATTTCGATATGGGAATAACAATAAGTGTATTTCTAAAAACAGCCAAACACGCCATTTTCATACTTGCAATTGAGCTGCATTACCTTGTATCAAGTGGAACCCAGTCAGTGTTTGCACTGCACTTTGCTTGTAACAGCAAACAGCCCCCTCTAAGCCAAGGGGATTCACATTGCCTGAACTTTGCTGCAGATGAAAGCAAGCACAGACTCTCACCAGAGTTCAACTGACTTGCTCTAACTTGTTGGCCCACAGCAGCAAGGTTCTAAGCCACAGCTACACTCATTCAAAACAACAAGCAATATTATAATGTTTATAGTCTTGAAAATAAAAATTGAGGATCAAATGAAGCCATATAAAATGTTTTATGTAGTTAAAAGGAAATGATTTCTAGAAGCTTTAGTCTCTGCAAATGCTGAGGTCTATACAAGTTCAAAAAAGTTTATTACAATGTTTACCAATTTTAGTTTTGGAAGAGTGTATTGATGTTTTTGCCAGCTATTTTAGTTCTGCTTTATTACTTTATAAGATGTCAAAAGGCAAAGAATGGCTTCGTGTTTCTCATTTGGCACACAGAGAACACATGGGCACTTCATGCACAATACTACAGACAGTGTCTAAAATTAATGTAACAGGTTATCTTCAGTATACCACACTGCAGCATGCAACAACAACAATAATAGTATTTTTCCTTAAAAGAAATCTGGCTTTCATATCAATAACTTTTAAAAACTGAATTTAATTTTTAAGAAGTCCATGTAGAAACAGTTCCCAATCCTTAAATACTAACAAAGAGGGAAAAACCCCAAAACATAAAAAAATTGCTTTTAAGAAATGAGTACACCCTAAAAGATAGTTAAATCACTGTTTCTTTGAAAATATTCTCTCACCAGGCTGTTCTCCTTCCATGCTTCTGGGAATTTTGGTCTTTGCTTCTCTCTAGACACCAAGACTTGCATATCTTCAAAAGTGGGATGGTTTCCGACTTCAGTCTGGAAAGCCATCTGGTACTCTGGCACAGATTCCCCTGTTAGAAAAAGAAAGAAAGGGAAGAAAAAATCAATCGCAGATTAAAAGGCAGAGCAAAGACTTTCAGTTGATGAAAGGCATTATCAAAGTTGCTGTCTATCGAGATGTTCCCCACCTTCCCCAAAGTCTAACTTCCAAAAAAAGCTGAATTAACTGCAAATGAATTAAGTGCTGTTCAGCAACCTTTCAAAGGATAGCATCCTCAGACTTCGCTGGTTCAGTGGCACATTTGGAATGTCTTGGAGCCTGAAGATGACACTTACTTTCTGCGAAACACCACTAACTGATCATGCTCATGTACTTCATTCAGAAGAAAGCCCAGCAAGATTACAAGCCTCTGCACATAAAGTACAGCTGCTTGACTGCAGAGACTATGCTGCATTTTAGATTAATTCTATATGCTGTAGCTTGGGCAGGAGATGGTGGATGTGGCACAATCTCACCTGTAAATTTTAAGCCTACTTCCTTTTTGGTTATGTTACAGGTAGGGAGAATTTCCAATGTCCTATCATAAACAAAAGTACAACTGGCTAAAGGCTACATTAAGTTACAGCATTTTTTAATGGTGAAAATTCTGAAAGACACTTCAAGCACTTTTATCAGTTCTCAGAACTGGAAACACTGCCTTTGCTATCAGCCTAACTCTCAATGTTTATAACTCTGGAGAGTAATAATAACAATAATAAAGCTCCAATGGCACCTAGCACGAGGCCTGCAGGCCGCCTGAACAGGTCATTGCGAGGCTTTGGGCAGGGACCACACCTCGCCCCCAGCCGCACCGTCCTGACAAGCACCGCCTCGAACACTAGATGGCACCGACTCAATGGCAGAAGCAGCCCAGGGAACCGCTTCCCCTCACTTTCAAAAGCCCGGCTCAGGAGCAGCTCTGGTTGCTGGTCCCATTTCCTACTGTTCGGTTTTCTGCAGTTCTCTCAGTTACCTGGGAAGAGGTCGGTACATCTCATGAATATCTCCCAGTAGATCAGGCCCAGCGCATACATATCTACTTGTTTCAAAGCAGATTCACAGTCCCTCAAGTTCACTGCTCCTTCAAGCACTTCTGGGGCCATATAGCGGATCGTACCAACCTGGGAAAACACCACATCAAAGCTTCACATCAGCAAGTCATTTCCAAATTCAATTAAGTTTTTTAGTTCCCTATTCTGCTTGGTATTCTCTACAGTTAAGGAAAACACAGCTTGTTCCTAATCAATGTCCTCAGCTTCTAAATTCTTACCAGTCTAGTCATAACAAAACCCTTCCCCTACTCTGTCACTGTTTTGTATGTACCAAAACAAACTTATTTTGTCCCTTACTTAATGTCCTCAAATGAAATATGATATAGCTGAAGTGTTTCTTTTTCCAAATTACTCTGTTAAACATCAAGGTATGTATCATAACGCTGCTGAATAGGAAACTTGTTCTCTATTCCTGGACTGTCAGCAAGGTTCCACCCTACAGCTTCCACAGTCAAAGATTATTAACAGTCTTGGAAGATACCTATTCATTTTCACTAGGACATGTGTTAGATTAGAGCACTTACTCATCAGTACTTGCAGGACAGTATTTTGTCAAAGGACTATTCCACATCCCTGCATTTTAATCAGCAGTTTCCCTGTTTCTTTGTTCAGAATGGGAATATCTAGATGGAGTTCTCCTGCACTAGATATTTTCAATTTAGCACTTGCTGTCTAAGGTAGAGTGATTAGTGTAGCATGTTCTTTGAATGACATACGAAGTTCTTCTGTAAAAGCACAGACAACAACTACACTGAACTATTAGGCACTCTTTATTTAGAACAATAGTATTTTATGTATTAGATGTCAAGCAGAAGATGCAGAATGTGGTATGTCACCATTTCAGAAAAATTAACACCAAAACCAAAAATTAAAAACAAAATCAAAGAATGTTTGGTCTTCAGTTAGCATTTGCAGCACAAAACTGAAGGGACCTGTACCACACAACCACAGAGAACATGGCAACCAAACCCACCTGACTCCTCATATCTCACACAGAAACTTCAGTCTGCCAATCTACTGCCTTTCAAAACAGCAGGTTTGTGATGAGTATTTTGAGAGTAAAACCAGTTTTTTCCTGTGGAGGCTTCAGCCACTTCTCACCCATACTGCAATCACTCCCCATTACAGAAATGGCACCACCTGAACATTCATCCAACCATTTGTACTCACCTCACTGATGGCTGCATTGTCTTCCTCACCCGGTCGTACCAGTCTGTTGCCAGTTAACTTCATGGAGAGTCCAAAATCGCTGATGACACACGTTCCATCGTTCTTCACCAGCACATTGCGGCTGTTCAAGTCACGATGGGATATCGCAGGCTTGTAATGGTCTGTTTGGACACACACAAGTGCTTGTTACTATTTGAGCAATTCTACTCTTTGGCAAAATGGGAGAACCTCGTTATGTCTGCTCAGCAATTACGAAAAGAGAACCAACTTATTTTTTTGAAAGCTAATGCTTTTGCTTCTTTACAATGAACTCCAGAGGAAGCTATCTAGAGAAAACTGACTAGCATCCAGAGTTTCACTGTATATATATGATATATTAGGCTACTGCCCTGCACAGGTCTAATGTTCACCAACAGCCTTCTTCCCAAGGGATATTTCAGCACAACTTTGGCAGTGGAGACATTGTACACTTAAACACAGACCTGCTGCCACAGCCCTAACAGCCATTCCAAATATTCTCTATCAATTCCACACTCCTGTGTCAAATGCAGCACTAATTATTACATTACAATTGAATTACTGTTGGCACTTATTAAGAAGATATGCAGACAGTATTATTCCAGAGAGTCTGATTATGTTCATCTTGCAAGGGATCTGACCTTTTCCAAAGAATAATCTCAGTTGCTCCTAGTTCTTATTTATTTTGTTAGTAAAGCAGCCAGCAGTACAGAGCTCATTTTAGTGTGGAATTTATTCTACTCCACATGTTCCTTCCTAGCATTCACAGACTGTGGCTGTCTCTCTTTTATGACGGAAAGCTTACACATCTTCTGGTTGCTAATGGACACACCTGTCTGCACATCTCAAAATGATGAAGTTAAGATGATAGCTGCAGTTTCAATGACACATAGGAATACTGATTTGGGTATTTTCAGCACTTTTAATAGCATCTTTAGCTGTCATTTTTTGCTAGTGCTCATGCTTAACATTTGAGAAATAGAGTTTGAAATTTTAATCCAAACATTAGCACCTTAATGTAGATATAATGAAACCAGCCCTTTATTTACTGCCAAAACCCTAACGTTTCAGTGCCAGGCCACATTCTGCAGCCTGATATATCACAGATCTTAGAATATCTACTTCATAATTATGATACTTCAGCTGTTGAAATACTGGGTGAAGAATGCATGCAGAGATAGAAAGATCCCAATCAATACATTGTCACAGCCAGTACTCTAATAAAGCTCCAGAAAATCCAGCAGTATTTTTTGCACACAGCAAAGACTAGGCCCAAAGTCACAAACAAAAATCCAGAGATGTGATAAATAAAACTACAGTGGGATTAGAAGATTTAATTTCATAGCATACAGTTCACACAACAAACTAAAAATTGCTTTGGTGATTTGTTTCTGAACTGCAAAAACAGACAACAGCTCATGTGTTTACCCTCTGCCAGGGAGGCAGGCAGTGCTTCAGGTCTCCAGCAATCTGTTGCCATGGCACAGCAGCACTGCACAGCTCTGCCTCCTCCTGCCTCCCCCACCTCGGACTCGGTGCTGTCACACAAGGGTCACCGAGCCACAGCACGGCGTTGTTCCAAAGGAGGGAACATATCAGAAGTTCTGAGCAATCTCTATTTGCATTCATCAATTCCTAATCACAGCAGGGTAAAAGAAAGGCTGGACCCTAGTACCTGACAGAAATCTTTGCATCCCTTCTGGCCTTACCTCCTCGAGGCAGCTCCGTGTGCAGGTACGCCAAGCCCCGAGTTATGGAGTGAGCCAAACGACAAGAGCTCACCCAGTCACTTGTGTGGAGACTCAAATATTTGCACAAAGAACCCTAGAAAGAACCCCAAAAAAAGACAAAACAAGAAACATGGATTAAAATAATCGTCCAGTAGAATAGCTCAAAATCTTTTGGAGACTCAGTTTTCTGCTGAGTCTAGTCCTTCCACTTCCTTCTCCACTGCCTCTAAAAGGTATAAACCTACAACTGCTTATGTGTTTACCCACATATTTTAAAACACAGTATTTGACTGAAGTTTCATTAAATTCCAGTGCTGCCATTTCATTTTAAGTGGAATAGGAATTTTATGACAGAATAACAGGGACTGCCTCTAGAAAAAATTATATTAATTAGACAAGTCATGCTGTAGAACAGAATAAAGGTAACTGCCGACGTAACAGCCTGGGTTTCTAAAAAGTGGCCTTTAGACCATTATCACTTACAGAATACTAACATCTCTCACAGGTCTTGCTATAATCCATTTATGTATCTAAACAAAAACACCCCAAAGGCAATTCCAAATAGGAGTGAGTCCACATGCACCAAAGAAACATGGAAAAAATAATGTTATGTTCCCCTTTTCTTGAAAGTGAAGTCAGATGTGTAAAATGGGGGATCTTCCAGTGATTTGTCATGAAATCCCTAAGAAAACCAGAAGGAAGCATGTCCATTATGATATTGAGATATTATAAAATCTGAGACTGCTATCCAAATCAAAAGCCAGACACTGCAAACTGTGACAGCTTTGACACACATTCCCCAGTGATAATATACTTAGTTTAAACAAACTAAATGCTCCAGCATAAAGCACAAGTAATCTGCCTAACATGGCATACTTATTATATTATACAAACTACCCTGGTTTTGCCTATTTAAGTCTGTAATCTTAAAGATGCACCAATGTGTAATAGCTTATCAGAGGCAACTAAATACATATCATTGTGAAGTAAGTTCTAGAATGTTTGGTTCATAAAAATTTGGTATGAGTTCCTCTGGAGTTGACACTCAAATTATACATGCACAATTCAAATGGAGGCAAAAAGATACTAGAATTTAAAGTGACCAAACTCTCAGACATTTTTTTAATCCAGTGCTAAGCCTAAAACCAAATTCTTAACACTTCTTAATAGAATCATGGAAGTCTTACACCTTTTTCAGACTTAGTCTGTACAGAACAAGGAATGCCTAAATAGGCAACATCCTCAGTGAAAGCACAGACTGAACATCACTCGTGCAAGTTTACACAAATAGTTTTTAATGTTTAAAATGCTGCTATAGGAACTTCAAATAGGTTCTGTAATACATTAAAAAAAGCTGTGAAATACACCAAGAAATACAGGAATTTCACGTTTTTTTTTTTTTTTTTACAGCTTTTTAAGGAATATAAGCCATCTTATAAATGTCTCCAAATGTCATTGGCTTGGTCTTTTTTCTTGGCTTAGTGCGTTGAGAGGAAGCCCATTCTAATGGAGGCTACAGGACTGTTGTCATGAGGTGACTGGGAACTATTCACTGTATTAAACCAGCTTCAAGATCTTTTTGCTGCAGAGCCTGCCCACCACCAGATGTTTTTTAAGCTAACTGAAGGCTGTGATTTTATGCTTTTAGTGAAGTTAAAATGATAACCAGGAAAAGTTTTAGTCAAGATTTAGAGACATATATTTGTATTTAAGACTATCTTGTCAGAGTCATGAGTTACATGAGTTAAATTCAGGATATTTGTTCTGACTATAACTTTTGATAAAAGCGATTTTTTAACAATCAGAGATTCTATTTGTGTTTTAAAAACACAATTGTTGTTCTAATGGGACAAGAGTGACTACTGGGGAGGTAATTCTGCAGCTATTGTATTTCCTGCTACATCATGCCTCACAACTGACTCCCTTACTGACCTGTTACACCTCAGAGTCTCATCAGAACGGCATGGTGATTGATAAATACACATATCATTCCTTTTACTCGCCTATTTCCTTTGGTCTGAAGGCATGTTTGGATAAAAACACAACCTGGGTCAAACCTATCTGTCTTGCTTTCACCAAGGTAACACCAAGAACAATTTTCTGTGTAAAAATGCCCTGGTTTGTGTGTTCTTATTTTCAGGAAGGAAAGTATTATGAGGGAGAATGATGTTTTGGATGGGGAGTATTTCATCTGCACATCTTGTATTGCTTAGTCCTTATTGAAATCAGATTTATGGCTCCAGTTTGAACACTGGAATTCCCTTCTAGCCTGGCTGCCACAGCAGGCTTCCTTTTCTGCTGTTAACTCCACATACAACAGAACATCTGCTCACTAAAATACAGATCACACTGTGCATTAATTACACCTGCTGTGCACTTTTTCCAATGACTTCCAACCAACCAGTGGACTGATTTTAGACTAATCTTGCTGTTCTTAATACCACATTGGGAAGGAATCTGATAATATCAAGTCATAAGCTTCATCTGTACATTTAACCAGGTCATTAACAGAGCCTGTTTACATAAGTAAAAAAACACAATTGTCAATCAAATTACATTTCAACTGAAAATCCTTTCATTCAAGAAAACAGCAAAACCTCATCATCTGTGAAGACAGTTATGCTATGCCCTCCCAGAAGCAGAATACTCATTTGATTTTACTTAACTTTCATTTTATTACATGAAAATATGCCAGTTTTCTCAGAATCACATGCTTTGTCACTGTCCATCTGGTATGGGCACAACTGACCTTTCTCATGGATACTTCCAGTTTCTGCAATCTCTTCTTAGATACCTGCTCTACAAACTGACATGATTGTGTTCTCACTTAAAAGTTTCAGTTAAGACACTCTTTTTATATTTGTGCTTTGTTGCCTTAAGTTTGTATATAGTGCATAAGTGTGTAAATACATACCCATGTTTAAGGTATGTATTCACACGGGTACATTTAACTTTCAATACAAGCATATACACAGAGCCCAAAAAACCCTAACAAAGGCCATCATTACTGCTATGTAGCACTGTTTTGCTCCTTTTTGCTATTCAAATAAGCAGCTATTGTCCTGCTGCCTCCATAAAATATAAGGCTTCAGCCATCCCCTTCACACCCTTCAGGAAATATGAGTTTGCTGACTTGAGACCAAAAAGCTTGTTAAAGAAAATTATTTAATTGAATAATTAAGGCTCTTTCCCATAAACAGGCAAAACACCCTGCCCAAGATAAATTGTGACACCATTTTTTGCATTTTCATATATATAGCCCTCATAAACATTTTAAGATTTTTCAGGAAAGCTATTCGCATTCATACTGTGTATTTTTAAAATATTTTTGTTTCTGTATATGTGTGTACGCACACAGAACATGAAGTACCCTAATCCACGAATTTGAGAAATACAAGCTTTCAGTTAGCTAAGGAGATTTGAAGATATGGTTCTGGAAAGTAAGGCTGCCTTCTTAAGACATGTCCTACATCATGCCACAGAAAGCTTTAAAGAAGATAACAGGATAAAAAGGCACCATGATTTATAGTACCATAAAATAGTTTGACAACAATCTTGTATCTATTACATTTCACTATGAAAACCCCACTATTTACAGCTATTGACCGATGTCATAAGACAGAGATAATGTCTTAATATTAAGAAGTTTTAAATTTATTAGATTGCTTTTAAGTAAAAACAACTCTTCAAATTCTGTCCCTGAATAAGGACAGAATTGACTAAAAAAACTTTGCACCAAAACCAAGCGCAAATACTCCAGAGCTAGGAATTTGTAAGACAACATTTGGCAGCACTAACCAGGAAGTCTAAAAAGACATTACAGTAACCCACAATAAGATCCATTAAAACTGTCATTTGTATGGATTATTTTTACATTACTGTGCAAGAAGCACCACCAAAACCTAAAGTACATCCTTTTCACGTAGCTATTCTTAGGATTCTTAACCAAGCCAACTGATTTCTTTGAAGCACTTACATTGGGGTAATATTCCATCACCAATAAATATTCCATCCGGCCGTCTGCAGTGAATCTCTCATCCCCCACAATGAAGCGGGCGATGTTATCGTGTTCCATCAGTGGAATCCTGTAAATGTTCCTCTCATTGACAAAGTTCTGACGATTAGCAAAAGAAAATACTTTCACAGCAACTGGACGTTCATCTAGGGAACCTTTATACACTGCTCCATATCGTCCCCGGCCAATCAACTGCAAAAAAATATAAATAATGAGTTCACAAAATCATAAAGACAAAACCTGAATTTTCACTCTACAAGAATTGTATGCCAACTTTTATCCTGACTTATATTATAAGAAGAGTGAAGATAGTGAATATTTTGTAATGAAAACCAGAATTAGAATGCTTCCAAAAAAGCCAATTTGGAAGTAAAAAACCCAACAAAAACCAAAAAAAGCCTTAACAAAATTAATAAGAAGCCGAAAAACCAAGAAAGAAAACATAAATAATCTATTCAGTACATTTATATACAGAATCAATAAAACACATGTGTTTTGTGCTGCTAATTCTCTCACAACTTTTGCCTACTAAAGATTTACAGATTTTATGTGATCAATTTCATTCCACTCCAGAAACCATAGACTTTAAGGGAAACATTTTCGGTTAGCTCATAAGCTGCACCTTTCAGGTTAGTAGTAACAAAATATGCATTTGTAGTGCAAAATAGATGCCAAAAGAGGTAATCAGATTTTAACAGAAGGAAGTAATTAATTCCTGACTACCTGTGAATATTTATTCTAGCCCCCACTATGTTAGACAGTCTTCAAGAACGGTCTTTCACATTTCTATAGTAACTGCACAAGAAATAAGAGATCTCTACTCTAAACCAGAATGTAGGACCACCTTCAGGAAGAGCCCTAATTTCTAAAGCTGAAAAAATTCCAGCTATGTAAGAATTTAAGTACCTATTTTAAATAATTTTCAGAATGACCCATACATGAAACTGTAAGGATTTCATGAGCCATTTTTAAAACTTTTTAAATACTTACAAATAGAGGAGAAATACAAAACAGAAGGGATAACAAACGTAATGTTTCTAAAGATTATAAAATTGTCTTACAGGAAAGTTTTCAAAGATAAAATATCATTTAATGGAGAGACTTTCTGTTTCTCAGTCCTTTTATATCACTGGGTTTCAAAGCAGCAACAAGTCAGTTCAAGGTATGAACCTGGAATGTAATCTACCCACAGAGATGTCAAAAGGCAAGCACAGGTTAAAACATTTGTCCTGTTGTCCCTGTGACTGGAGGTAAGGGGTCAGCTCCTTAGGATACAAGAAGCAGACAGAAGACACCATAGCAGATCTCTCTACCAAATTTCAGACTTGGACAAGTGCTTTCATCTGGGGCTTTGCACACTTCTGCAGTACACATTGTTAGACTCTTGTAAACTCTGCCTCAAGTACTTTTTTGGTGGCAGAAGACACCCAAGATTCTTTGCTGATCAGTGCTGTCACCATTAGAGCAACTCACACTGCATGTCTGCAGTCTGCATCTCTCGGGGGGGTTTCTACTGCACCACTCTACATCTCAGTTGTTCTACTCATTTTTTTCCTGGCTAAAAGGTTTTAAAAATTCCATATGTTCCATCAAGCATACCAACTGGAAGCATAACATTTTGCAGTTTCATGATGATGCATCTAACACCAAGCTGAGCAGAAAGCTCTGCTTGGCCTCTAGTTGCCATGGAGCTAGATAGTGCCCCACACGGAGAATGACTACACAGAAATGCACCACCACTGAAATATACTGCCCTATCTGCAGTATATTCTACCTTCCAAGAGTGCAACTAAAGAATTTCAAATTCCTACATTGGGACACTGTACTAAAAGCAAGCAGTGTCAAGGAAACAGATGGATCTTTTGATGCAATGCTGAAATATAGCACCTTCTAATTTTCCCCACTACCTCCCAGTGTTTCTTTTTTTGTTCTCAAGGTAAAACATGTTCTAGCTAATACCAACAATATTAATAACAAGATTAGACAAAATGTACCTGCAGTAACCCCTTTTTTATTTTAATTTCTTCTTGAAACTGTGATTTAGAAGAAAATATTACAGGAGCACTCACACATTCATTTCTGTAACTATATCTGCGATATGACCACAAGCATTATATTGAATAAAAATGAAGATTAATAACTGAGTTGAATATTTACCTCCAACAACTTCAGATTATCCAGATCCAGTGAGGGCTCTGAAGCTGCTGCCTCCATCATGTTCATACTGTGCAAACCTTGTTTACGGTCTCCTGGGGAAGAGGGTGAGAAGGAAATCAGCCAGTTTCCTTTCTGGACATGCTCCAAGTAAAAAAATCTAACTTACCTGGGACCTGGCAGAATTACATACTGTAGTCAAGGATGAAATAAGTAAAAAGGGGTCCTGTAAAATCTTCTCAAAGTCAGCAAAATGAGCATTGAAGGTGCTGATAAGCTACAAACTACAGATACCTGCTACACAACTAGTTTGATAATTCAAAGTCACTGACAATAACTATAAAGCATGTTCACCACCTCACTTAAGCTGTGCTGAGCAGAGGATTTGTGGAAGAAAAATGGGTTCCAAAATGCCATCTTAGAGAAGTCATAACTCTCTCCAGACTGTTAGATAAGGGATATCACCATAAAATGTCACAGAGGAGAAAGAGGAGCAGCATTATGTAGAAGCATATAATAGGGACTGGGGAGAGCAGAAGACCTAGGTATAACTTTGAGCAATAGCCAAAGAAACAATGGAAAAAAACAAAGCCAAAAATATTGTCAATCCCTACCTGCAAGCATCCTGTAGCCAAAGAATAGAGCAGCTATGAGAACAGCCAGTACAGACACAGATGCCAGGGCAATAACGATGGTCTCATCTCGATGAAAAGAATGAGAAGAATCTGAAAGCAAAAAAATGAGGACACTTTAATTGTAAATTTCAAAGAATCAACACTAAATGTAATTGGTATTACAGCAATGAGAACAAAATGTACTCTGGATTGTCAAACATCCCACATCCTTTTCCCCTCAAAATCTAGAGATGGCAAAAGATCTGATCAGCCCAAAACTAGCTGGGCACATATTCACCAGCAGCTTTTCCCAGCCTTCCCCTGCCCTGTAGCAAGAGGCACTGACAGCAGAAAGTGATTCCTCTCTATCTGGAAAGTTCAGTACAGCCATACAAGGCCAAGGTGATGCAGCCCTCATCTGTGCCTTAATCCAGTTTCCTGGTATGAATCAGGTTTGTCACCTTGACAAGGTTTTTTCGTTGTTTTTCCCAGGACAAAAATCTCATGAGTTTGCAAACTGGGCTGCAAATATGATGCATATTGAATGTTTCACATTCACTCAAATACCTAAGACATAGGTAAGTCCACTTAAGCAAATATTTCAAAATACTTTGGGGTTTTGATTTGTTTTGTGTCAGTGCTCAGATAATTTTTGGCATAATTCTTACTGCTTAATACACAAAAAGACAGAATTATCTCTACAGACTGAAGCAGGAAACCTGAAACAAAATAAAAATACTAATAAAATTAAATAAAACTAGTTTTACTGAATCTGTTGTAAAGTAGCATTTGACTTTTTGTCAAAATTAGTATCTTGCCTTTTCAGGTTTTTTTGGTTGGGTTTTTTATTTGCCCAGAGAGGAAAAAAGATTTCATTAAAACATTTGTTAGTGCCTTGAAATGTTCCTCCATGTCAGAGTGCAGTCTTGCTTCTTGCAGGCATATAAAAATCCAGCCACTTTAATACAAAAAATTATTAGTGCAGATACTCTTCTGGTGTCAGAATCACTGGAATGTGGCGCTACAAGACCTCATTTACTTTGGCTTCAAAACCAAGTTTGGGAACTATGTTTAAACATGTCTTACATACTGCAAAAAGTACTCCTTAAAAGACTGTAATGAGACCTAACTATGCTAAAACCACAAAATATAAAATGCACACAAGACTTAAACATTGGATAAACTTTTAGGTGAGACTGAAATACAATTTATCCCAATCTATACTAGCTGAATAAACTGACAAATTCACTTCTATTGAATTGTATTTAAAAGAAATTCAACATGTTTCACTACTTCAGATTCTCAGTATGGACAGACACAAGAGAATCGTACAAGAAGGAAAAGCAAATTTAGAAGACAACAACTGTCATTTTTACATAACCATAATGCTAAGGGGAAATAATGAAAAGCTGGTAAAATAGAATGCCAGAGAGAATTTCAACTGTGACAGAAGTATGTGAAAAATCACCTATCAAAACCAACACACAGCTCATATCTGATATTCCCCTTAAATAAAACAGAACTCATGACAAATCACAATAGCATCAAATTTAAATTTGTTCTGTCAAAAGAAATACCATCACTACTGGTTTTGGTAAAATAACTTTCACTATGAAAATAAGTTATTGCCCTAGAACACTAATGTGGAATATGAGCTGTGACTTCTGTGGTGAGGAGATTAAAAGATACACATGACAATTGTCATCTAAATTATGTATTCAAAATATAGACATACATATTGAAAGCCACAACATCATAAAGGAAACTGTTACATTATACAAAGCTATATGAAACATGACACTAGTGTAAGCAGATGAGTAACTGCTGCAGGGAAATGGTAGTTTTGACTTTCATATTTTTATGAATGAAATTTACATTTGATTGGGTTATCTTTTAAAATATATATTAAATGTGGCAGGTTTTGCATCAGTTCAAGACAGTGCCTAGCACGTAGTAAGGAGTAGCAGGTTTTGAGAAACTGACCCTTTGGTTATAATCCCAGCTGTATTTTCCTTAACTGTACAACTAGAGTGCAGCCATTTGCTACCTTCCCATTGCCAAATAACCAGCAATCATTTCCCCCATCGTTTGCCAAATGATATCTGATGCCTAAGTTTGATTGCTCTTCTTTAGTTTTCTGTATAATCAAAGGTTTAACAACATGCCTGCATCAAGAGGGCCCTCCTCTACCCTGGAATGGGATTTTGCTGTTCAAGGGCATCCTGAGCAACACATTCCTCCACAGCTCTGGCTGCCTTGGCACACTCCCTTTAGAAGCCTGTGAATGCTGACATTCTGCAGGCTGAAGAGATACCAGAAAATCTCAAGATAACATTTTGCTCCCATCACCAGCTGAAAAACACACAGATAAAAAGGATTGTTTCTTTCTTCTTCCTTGATGGACCATCCCCTCTGCAGCCTTTTTCTGTTTAGTGGGTAGCTGTGCAGCTACCAGGTAACCTCAGAGACCTCCCTGGCCTTTAGAGGAAAGAATGTTTAAATTTTTTTTAAGCAGAGTTGTTTCATAAGAATTTTAGATTGGCATATCTTGAACTAATTTTCAATCAAAATGACAAATATTTAAAAATAACACTGTCAACATTCCAGCCAAATCAGTCCTACAGTGCAAGTTACTACTGTCAGGGTGATCAGCAATATTTATAAATTTAATAATACAAATTCCTTAGTAAGGGTAAGTGAGATCTCAATGGACTGATAGCATGATGCTCAAAACAGCATGAGTGAGTAAAATGCTGTGTGTGACAGCCAATCCTCTCCCAGCAAGGACAACTTTACTATCTTTTGCTTGTAAATCTACACTAAAAGGAAAGCACAAAAACCCTGCAATGACAAAAGACCACGACAGCTCCAATCCCTCCCTCCCCTCCAAACGTGTTATTTCTATCAACCCTCTATCTGCTTTGTAAAACAATAACTTTGGATGTTGTCAAATTATCAATCTTTCTTAAATAGAACAAAAAGTACATGTCACGTATCAACCGAGTTTCAAAACCTTCTAAAACTTAACAAAACTTTTATTAACTCACTAATTTTATTAATCCTTCTCTGGATATATTTCATCTTTATTCTTTATACTATAGTCACCTTTAAATGCTTAGCTAAGAACCATATACGACCTCTCAAGGCATATGCAGAGGTTCACATTTGCACTTTTATAGACTTCTATGTAATTAATTAATACAAGATTTTAGATACATATGCACAAGAGTCATATTTCTCTTGGTATTATTTGGAGATATGTTTTAACTAACTCAGCAAAAGACACATCAGTGTAGGTCAATAAAAGTAATCACTAATCTTTAAGCAAGGCATTTTTAAAATAAGGATGTAAAATGAACATGTATAGAAGTTTCTTTTCATGCTTTTGTCCATGAACTTATGGTCTGGATCAAAACAACCATGACTCATCATGATTAGGACCTTCACTATGAAAGCTATGATTTGATATTACATTTTTCTGATCTAACACTTGGTTGGTCTTCAGCTGTTGACAACCCCTCCCTCAAATCGGTGGACTCTGCTTTTCAAGTTTATTTTCAGGACCAGACACATGCCCTACAGTTTCAGTATTTCTTCATCATGTCATTGTACAAACCAACTTTAAACGTGTCTAACAACCACTGAAGAATCTCATTTGAATTTCTGGAATCATTTGGGTACATAAGTTACAAATATCAACTGATTTAAAAACACTGTTTTCAAATCTCAGACTAGAGTGCTGGTATCTCAGTATTATTCCCAAACTAATGTATTACATAAAAAAGGCAATACCAAAAAAGGGCAGAATTAGCTGCAGACTCTAGAAAATCCAGTGATTAAGGAGCTGGCTGCTAAGCTAAATTCTACTACATTGTACACAGAAGATCCTGTCAGAGCTATCTCCTATTTATATTACTGTAACTGAAAGGAAGGCAAATGAAGGTGCTTGTTTGACTGCTATTTCTAAGTGAGGCTTTTATTTCCAATTTCAACTTAGGCTCCCTGATCTACAACAAAAAATGTGTCACAACTTAAAAAAACTGAAACTAACAGAAAAGTGCTGTAAGGCCCAAACAACCTTAAAAGCCAATTTTTTATCCCACTTGAATGGGAAAGGGAGCACTGCTCACAAATCTACTGACTCTACAAGCAGCAGTGCAAAGATGCCATGTGGAAGACACCCATCATGTACACACTTCTGTCTTGAAACATTTTGCCAGTAATTCTTACAGTAGTCAGCAGTTGACTCAAGTCTACCAATCCCATCACAAAGAAATATCACAGCAGGCAGTGTAATTTTTTTTTTTTTTCAAGTAAGAAAAAGAAACAAAGCACAACTCATTAAAACAGAAGGACAACCTCCTTCTGGCTGGGGAGCAGTGGGTAACCAAGCCACCATTCCCAGAAGTGTCCTGACCTCATCATCAATAAAGGGCTTGTTTTCAGGTTCCAAAAACCCGAGCACAACAGCTCCTGTGTATGGAGAAGGTACACACAAATAACTGGGAATGTATTTCAGAGCAAACCATGAAGAGGAATGCTTCCAGTATTCAGTTAGGAGTGAGTCATCTGGCTGAACCCAGCCCTGCACTTGGGACACTCCCTGCAGCTCTTCCACCACATTAAGCATTTCTCTCCCTTTTCTCAGGCATTACTGCCATAACAATTTCCAAGCACTTATACAGTATCTTTGATGAACTGATGCTTCCATACTGCCACACGTGGAAGTTCTCAAACTGCTGCCTTCCTAACCTTCCCCAGGAATGACATAGAGTGAAGAATACTGCCACTGCTAATGACATCAGGAAGAACAATGTTTTTTCTTCAAAGTAACTTTTCAACTATAAAAATAATCTTGCAATATTAATTAATGCAAAAGTATTCCAATCTGTGCCTATGCTTAATTTAACTTTCAAAAATTAAAGCCTCTTTTGTCGGCTTCCTGTTTCCATAATTCAAAATAAGCATTCATCCTATGACCAAAGGAAGTTGTGAGAAATGAGAGAAAACTGAGACAGAGCCAGGTAACAACAGCCAATGGCAAAAAGTTCTGTAAACATACACAACTCCTTCCTGGGAGCCAGAAAGGGGATGCACTGTTCTTCTATGTT